CACTGCTGGTAAAAGCGTAAAATGGTGCAGCCACTATGGGAAAACTGTATGATAGATAGTTCCTGAAAAAGTTAAACATAGAATTACCATATGGTCCAGCACTTTACTTATAGTTATATACCCAAAAGAATTGAAAGCAAAGCTTAAATAAATATTTGTATACCCATGTTTATAGTAGCACTATTCACAATAGCCAAAAGGTGAAAGCCACTCAAATGTCCTATCAGCAGATGAATAGACAAACTGTGGTATATACATAAAATGGACTATTATTCAGCCATAACAAGGAAATTCTGACATTTGCTATGACATAAATAAACCTTAAAGACATTGTGCTAAGCAAAATAAGCCAGTTTCAAAAGACAAACATGAATTCATTTATATGAGGTACATAGTTAAAATCATAGAGACAAAGTAAAATGGTGGTTGTCAAGGGCTGGGAAGGAGAAAGACATGAGGAGTTACTATTTAATGGGTAGATGGATAGTAGTGATAGTTGACAACAAGGTGAATGTACTTGATTCTACTGAACTATACACTAAAAAATGGTTAAAACAGTAAACTCTATGTTACCTAAATTTTACTACAATAAAAAACATGAAAAAATATGGCGAGGAAGAACCAAGATGGAGGCATAGGTAAACACCTGAACTTGCTGCCGCACACAGCCACATTAAAACTACAACTAAAAGACAAAACAAATATCATCCAAAACCACGGGAAGGCTGGCTGATTGGAAATTCTATAACTACAAGGAAATTCTATAACTATAAGGAAAGAGAAAAGTGCTTTGAGTTCAGAAGGAGGTGCAGAGGTGCAGAAGTGCAGAGGTACGGAGGCACGCGCGAAAGGGGCTGGCAGCTGGGTATGCTGTTGTCTTTTTAAATTGGGAGGGAGATACAAGCTCCCCACTGCTCTGAACCCCAGTTCTGGGGGAGAATTTCAGGACCTAGACTCAGAGAGAGAGAAACTGTACTGTCTAGGATTGGGCACGAACACGAGGGCGGCTTTCTTGCAGAGCTGCTTGCATTCATTGTTCCTGCACGGGGCCGAGGGACACAGATCCCAGGACCTCTCTGAGGCAGAGCAGACTGGCAACCATTGCTGTTTGCTACGCTCTGGTGATTCCCTGAGACCCCGCCCCACCCAATTTACAAACCAACCCAAGCTGTATGCAAAGGCTTTGCATACTAATGGCCTGGACTTTCTCTGCCTAAAAACCTGTCAAACTGTAGCTGGATCAGAGAATCCCAGAGCTTCCAAAAGAAGGCCTAAGGCCCATCAGTAGCCTGCATTACTTCACAGCTGTGCCTCATCTGGGCACCTCCAAAACCCAAACAAACAGGAGGAATCTGCAGATCTCTCTGTAGTTCCTGCTGGGTGGCCTCAGGCAATGGCTGCCTTTGCACCTCCTTGGAGATCCAAGAGCCAGTCTACCCAGTGGTCAGAATGAAACCATCCAGATTACAATTCCTCAGATCCGTAAGAGACACACTCAGGGGGCAGACTCAGTGAGCGCCAAATCCCCACTGAAGCAAGTCCTGCCCTATAAGGGTGTCTCCTGCACAGCAGCTCTTCCATTGTAGACACAGCTGGTCCTCACAGCCAATTGGCCTGGTGGTCAATTCCTTCCAGTGACACCAATAGCAATCAAGACTTAACTACAACAAGGCTGTGCACACAGCCCACAAAGGGATGCAACAAGAGTGTCCACTTCAGGTAATTAGGGAGGCTGAGCCATTGGGCCCTATAGGACACCTACCAAACAAAGTCACTCTATCAACACGGGGAAGCAGCCAAAATGCGGAGACAAAGAAACAGGTCACAAATGAAAGAAATGGAGGAAAGCAAACCACAGGATATAGAGTTCAAAACCACAGTCAT